AATCACGTCGTCACCTTGGTGTACAGCAACACCATGCCACCTTATGATGATTCTTAATCATCAATCTTCCCTAGGTGAAAGGAGTTTGGGCTCTTATATTTTGGTCTATTGTTCATCACAAGAGAATGAAGAAATTCCCTATCCTCCTACATTTGAACTTCACGAGTTGAGTATTTTCTTTGATTCCCTCCAAACCTCCAAATGGGCCACTAGCTTTTGATTTAAGCTTTTCAAAATATCTAAGAGCTCAAACATTAAAATGTTCTAAATTATACTTTTATAAGGTAAACACACATATATCATCAATCCAATCACTTGTATTCTTTCATTTTCACTATTATATTTCGTTCCGAAAACTAAATAAAGGCAAGTCATTTTTCTCTTTTCAAATATCAAATTGATGAATGATATATTGTCAGCATTTCATGCGATATTAAAAAAATCCTAAGATGGCAATGTTCAAAAAGTAAACTCTTTGCCTGCAGTGTTGCTGTTTCTGATTGCCGCATTAATATTAGGCTTCAATTTTCACCTGATTGCTGATGTTTCCACGTTGAAGACATGCAGGAAGAGGAAGACAACCGTCATAATTGCTTGAGTTAAAGTCAAGTCACTAATTATCCAAAGGCTATATGAATATGCCCAATTAAAAAAAAAAGCTATATGCTAAAAACAAAAAAACTTGCATTGACTAGTCAACTCTTGGTCAAACCACAGAAAGAGGGGCAAAAAAGGAAAATATTCAACTTTTCAGGGAAAGATTGTAACTTCAAATTGCTACAGCGGCAACTACGAGGATGCATAAGCCCTATAAATCCAGCAGAGAACCACCCCAAGAAAAATTAAAAACAGGAGAAAAGTTTCAGAAAAAGTATTCAGAAGAAACAATTGCAGATCCTCGGAGCTATATGTGCTTCAGGCTGTTGATGATGAGATTGCTTCTAGCAAGCAAGTATTGTAAAAGAAAATTACAAAACAAATGGGGGTTCATGAAGAAATTTTCTTTCTTTTCTCTCTTCCAAGGAAAAGAACTACAAGCCCTACGATGTTCATAAAAGTAATTTGGGAAAATCGTCCAAAAAGTCCTAAACCTATTGTATAATGGTCAATTCAGTCCTAAACCTTTCAATTTTGCAAATTCAGTCCTAAACCTTTTAAAAAGTTACCAATTCAGTCCTAAACCTTTCAATCGTGCCAATTTAGTCCTAAACCTATTGACTATTTGTCAATTTAGTCATAAACCTTTTAATGAATTGCTAATTTAGTCCTTCCAACTAATTTTGGCAAGAAATCGCTGACTTGGCGGTCCAATCGGCGGTGGCTGTCCTATGTGGCGCTGACGTGGATCATTTTATATTTTTTAAAAAAATTTCGAATTTTTTATTGATTATTTCTTTTCTTTTCTTTTCTTTTCTTTTTTTCCTTTCTTCTTCGTTGAGCCAGCGAGTCGCCGGCCACTGGGCAAGGGCCGGCGACCCCCGCCAGCCCCTGAGCGAGGGCCGGCGACCCCCACCGGGCTGTGGGTGAGGGTTCGCAAGCCCTCGCTGCGGTCGGCGAGGGCGTCGCGAGCCCTCGCCCAGGCCCTCGTCGACAACAGCGAGGGTGTCTCAGCCCTTGCCCGCCCTCGCCGGATTTGGCGAGGGCTCGCGAGTCCTCGCTATGGTCGGCGAGGGCATCGCGAGCCGTCGCCCGCCCTTGTTGTGGTTGGCGACGATCTGGGAGAGGGCCGCGACACCCTCGCCGGATTTGGCGAGGGCTCGAGAGCCCTCGTTGTGGCCAACGAGGGCATCAAGAGCCCTCTCCCAGGTCCTCGCCGGCCACAGCAAGGGCAGGTGACTGTAGCGACTCCCTCGCCATGGCCGGTGAGGGCTTCACGGCCCTCGCCCCCGGGCCGGCGACCCCAATGGCTAGCCACCTTCGCTGGCGAGTCGCTGGCTCAACGAAAAAGAAGAAAGGAAAAAAAAAAGAAAAGAAAAGAATAAAAGTAAAACAATAAATAAAAAAAATTCGAAATTTTTTTAAAATATAGAAAATTACCCACGTCAGCGCCACGTAGGACGGCTGGCATTGACTAGACCGTCATGTCAGCGATTTCCGGCCAAAATTAATCGGAATGACTAAATTGGCAATTCGTTAAAAGGTTTAGGACTAAATTGACAAATAGTTAATAGGTTTAGGACTAAATTGGTACGATTAAAAGATTTATGATGGAATTAGCAACTTTTTCAAAGATTTCGGACTGAATTGGCAATATTAAAAGGTTTAGAACTGAATTGGCCGTCGCACAATAAGTTTAAGAGTTTTTGGACAATTTTCCTAGAGTAATTTTGACAGTGCCTAGTCGGTAAAGATCATATAGGAATTCTGTCATTTGCCTTTGCACCGCGCAGCTACTCAAGCCCAATGATGTTCGTCGCGATTTATCACTATTTACGACTTACCATGATGAGAAGAACCATATTGACGACCAATAAACTTTCCCAACTCGAATAATGAGAATGAGATCAATCACGATCGTCATAAATTGACTAAAACAATGGAAGCTTTGGAAAGATAAGACAATAAGGAAGAGATATCTGAAACGTAATGCGTGTGATGATGGACCAACTTCTCCAATAATTGATGCAATGTGTTCGTAAATGGGCCCTCCATATAATTGACGTGGAAAGACTATAACCTTTAATTTAGAAAGTTTCTTCCATTAGTTTGTCAAGTCCCCTTTTTCTTTCATCTTTAGCTAGAGAAAACTTCCTCCAATTAGTTCTTCTGATAGATGGATTTACAAACATGGGCATCACCCGCATTGATATATTGTTAAGTTTACATGCATGTGACGTCCATAATTTTTAACTCACCATTGGAGGAAATTTGGAGGTCCGAAAAATCGAAACTGGAAAATGCTATGTGAGAGAAATGCGATGGGGATATTTCTCCGTTTGTTTCACGAAAAATAAATAATTTGAAAAATATTTTCCTTGAAAATGATCGCTTGTATTATTGTTTGAAATTATTAACCAAAGTAATTTTTTTTCATTATCGACAACAATTAATGTCTATACATTTTCGTAGATGGCGAAAATATTTTCCTTTTATTCATTTTTCTAAGCAATATAAGCGTTCATTTTTAGGAAAATACTTTTCAAATTATTCATTTTTTTGCGAAATAAACGGAGCCTTAGGGTTTTTTTTTTCCTTAATGTCTCCCCGTAAGATAATTAACCTTGCCCATGATTTCCACCTTTTACGTCTCCATCTTTGTCAGCGTTATTTCTTAGTTTTAATAATTTTTTGAGTACATATGACAAACGGGTTATTATGTAAGTATTTCTCGTTAGATCGATCATAAATCAGATGTTGGAGCTTTTGTCATGATGTATCCACGTAAATTACAAAAAAGAAAATATCATAGTGTGGTGGTATAATTGGGACTTGCATCTTAAGAAATGTCTAGTGCTAAATTTGATTTCAATTCGACGTAATTCCTCGAAGTATAGTATTGAAAAGTCTTTCTCACCTTTATTCTAGTGATGGCCTGACGTGAATTCAATGAATAGCCATCCTTGATCGGGTAAGTGAACTCGCCCTGTCACCTTACCCCATACATTACAAATATTGATACAACTCGAGTTGTATCGTGTAGAGTCATGTTAAGATTTCTTTTAAGCATATTGTCCCATCCTGTTCAAATTCAGTTTCGTGTAGTATTAGAAATCAACCGTGACTCCCGATTATTAAAAAAAGGAAAAAAGTCAATAAAATCTCAAACTATGTGCACCGTGACGTATCCAAAAGTCTCAAACTTATACTTTTATGACCCATTTACCCTCTGTCAATGAGTTTCGACGTAGCTTAAGTGAAATAAAAACAATGTTGTTTTATCTGGAAAATTATTTGACTAAACTTGATGAAGGCACATAAGTACAAGTTTGAGACTTTTTTATATCACAAGAAAAATTTTACGGAAAATGCGAGCCAAGTGTATCTCTTATAGTATTTCACCAATTGGGACATCAGCAATTCTTAGCTGCTTATTCTGAAGAGATCTTTCCACAACTTGACTAATCTCTTTTGAAATAGAGGAGGATGAGGAACTTGCTTCTATTTAAATTTCAGCATTTGGGAGAAAGAGGACATATCTAGCTCTACTAGAAAATGATATTCGAGAAGATGAAATTCAAACTTTTTTATGCCATATTTCGCCGCCAAGATTTCTTTATAAGTAGAGTGATAATGCGTCTGCCTTTGCGTAAATCTTCCACATTTGTGTAAGACTCATCAGACAATACAAAAGATAGAAGTACACGGATAGCTCAAACAATTTCAATGATAACAATACAGAAGAGCCAGTCCACAAGTACGACATGTGAAGGTGTGTGAAGGTGTTGAAAGAGGGTCTGAAAAATTGTTTAATTTGGGGTTTTTGATATCTTAAAAAAAGTTTAAATTAGGTTTCGTGTAGTATCAGAATTGCCACCCGCATGCTTTACTTATTTGTGACCCACTTCCACATCGACTAAGAGTGCATACCCACTCCCCAAGTCATCATCCCGTCATCATCCCACTATTGATTAGAACCTAATGCAGTTGCACGAACATTTTCAATCTTCATATGCAGATCTAGACGGACACACTTACGTGTCACCATGTGCACTATGTTGTCACTTTCCTTCGCGACAACGAATGACATATATCTATAGCCATCTAGAAAAAGCTAATCTTTCCATAATGCGTCCAAAAATAAGATAATTCCAATTATTTCCCATTTCAGTATTTCAGCACGGCAAGTCATGCCAAAGCCAGAAGGCGACTGTAAAGCTTTGTCAAATGGTGTGGGGTAAAGTAGACAAATAATTGGACAAAATCCAACCGAATCACGCACTGACATTATTCTTGACCAAAAAACAAAAGGCAACATTATTAGATATGTATACATAGAAAAATATAAATATATGTACATGAAAAATCTTGGACGCAACCTTATTGGCCTCTTTAAAATCTTCAATGTGCACATGAAAAAACATCACGGAAGAGCAAAACCCACAAAGGAAGAGCCGACATGGGTGCTCTCCCACCTCTAAAACTTCCCTTGATAGATTTCTGCAAATATGACATGAAGCCAGGAAGCACACAGTGGGATTCAGTGCAAAAAGAGGTTGTCAAAGCACTTGAAGAGTACGGTTGTTTTGAGGCTCGATATGATAGAATCAGTGTTGAGCTTCACTATGATGTCTTCAAACAATTGGAAGTTTTGTTCGATCTTCCGGCCGAGACGAAGAGCCATTTCGTCGACCCTCGAAAGCCGTACGATGGTTACCTCGGGAACCTACCTCATTTGCCTCTATACGAAGCAATGGGAATCTCCGGCGTGCTGGACTCCGGAGGCATTCGGAAGTTAGCCAATCTCATGTGGCCTAAGGGAAATCCAAAATTTTGGTACATTTGTTTCATCTGAAACTGGCGTGCTACACGTGTATTCTGAAATTATATAAATATTTAAAAATGCGAATATTTATGTGATAAAAACTTGTGGAAAGAAAATTTTGATTATATGGTTCTTCTTTTGGTGTTGGTTTCGAAATTTTTTATTTACTAAAGCTGTATAATTTATCATTATGAGCTTTGTTTTTTTGGATAATTGTACTTTATATGAACATACTTAAATATATATGCAGTGAAACACTAAATTCATATGCAATGACGCTTTCCGAGTTGGAATCACTGATCACCAGGATGGTGTTTCGAAGCTTGGGCGTGGAGAAATACCTGGATTCGCATGCCAGGTCCTTGAACCACTCGATCCGGGTCATGAGATACGAAGCGCCGATGACTCGGGAGCCTCAGAGCGGGGGGAGCTCGCACTGCGACAAGAACTTCTTGACCATACTTCAACAGAATGATGTGAATGGTTTGGAGGTGCAAACAAAGGATGGAAAGTGGATTCAAGTCGCACCTTCGGCTTCCACCTTTATAGTCATGGTTGGAGAGTCATTTCTGGTGAGTGTGTCTTTCCCTTCTCTCATGCCAAGGCTTGTAAAATTCCAATTCAGATTAAGTGTTGAGTTCACACGATGATAACTTCTAATTTGGAGGTAGGTACGACTCCATGGAGATCGACTTCATCGAAGACTATGCACCAAGTTATAGTTGTATAAACTAATTCAAATGTACCCCTCATTTTTTCTACACACATTATATACTTTGAAAATATTTTAGATGCTTCTATATCCTTTCCGACTCATTCCTTCATACCAAACACAAGAATTTTTTAAAACTTATTTCATTCGATTCCTTCGAACATTCCATTCCCTCCCCATTCCATTCTATCGTATCAAACGCACGTTGAAGGTCGAGAAATATAGATTCATCCAAAAGCATTAAAAAAAGTGATTTGATTGATAAAATGAGTCATTTTACATTGTCATCACAATGTTTGCATTGCCAAAGTTTAGCTGCAAGACAAAGTATGTCCATCTATAAATGTCTTGTCGATAATGCGAATTAGACATTAATTCGAAACGAATGGTTGGCTAGGGATGGAGCAATGGCCGATTGCACTGCCCTACACACCGGGTGATGATGAGTGGCACCGAGACGAGGTATTCGATCGGCTCGTTCTCGGCCATAAGAGGGGTGATCAAGTGCCCGTGCGAGCTGGTCGACGAGCAACACCCTTTGCTCTTCAAGCCCTTTGACGAAATCGATCTGCTCCGGCTCCACCAAACCGAGCAAGGCCTCAAGGCCGAGTCAACTCTTAAGGCCTATTGTGGTGTTTGAACATGTTTTACTACTATTCTTCATGAACGCTCTGCTTTCATTAGTGAAAAAGTTATTGGTGATCACTATCCTTGCAATATTGGAGCGTCGCTGTAGGTGAGAGTGAGTGTGTTTGTCAAGCACGGAGTGGAAGTAGCTAGTTTGTATTCGAAATAAAAATAAATAAAGATATTGTTCGAGGGTTTGGTTATGCATGAGGAAGGGTTAGCACCCTTTTGATGATACTTCAGTACCACATTTTTTTCTAGTAAGTCCTTTAAATTCATTTATCAAATGATTTCTGAGAATACAAATGCGATTTTTTTATTTTTCCTGATCACCTCATTTTACACCCTCTAGAATGACTCTTTGTACCCTGTGTACGTTTGTTTGTATTTGAGATTATGATGATGATGCAGCATATACGACATACCATGTGATGTGACGACGTTCTATGACATGTGACAAAATGTTGTCATGTGACGATGTGCCTTGTGATGACCTATATTACTTGGCGAAGTATCGTGTAATGATTTGTCGCATAATGACGTGAATGCATGAATCCTAGTGTGATGTGTATGCATCTCCAATTGATTAGAGAATTTGATCCCCAATGATGCATGTTTTGAAACGGCGGAGTCATTTTTCTTATGCGACTTACCCGAGCATGGTAATCATGTCGAAGGATCCCAATAATCCTTTTCGACCAATTTTCCCCGAATACTTTATTACTAAAAGCCAACAATAGCTTTTATGATTGTGATTATGAAAATACTTTTGAAAACATTAACATATATGTGAGCCTTTTGACTTACGACTATCAGCCAATTTGACTTGAGTTTGATTATGCCATCATATGATTTCCTCGGTATGGAGTTTGTCATGTATAAACCAAAATTTAATTTTAGCAACCAAAATTTCTTACTGATACTTAACTCGATGGAGCTCCTTTCTTCTCGAGAAAGGCCGCTATCTAGGCATGGAGTTCTTCATGTATAAACACATCGTGCAATATTTCTTCTACATTAGCTGGTTTAAATTAGGAGTGTGATGTCTACTGAGTACTGTGAAGTACTCAAATTTCTTCTACACTCGCTTGATCTGCTTCTGAAACTGGTAGAAGCAGATCGATCGAATTTGCATTAGCCATTCATTCGGATCATGACTTCGTGTGAACAAAACTATAGACTTGTTGTGTATGATCGAAGCAAAAATCCTGCCTGCATAATTAGTTGTTCATCCCCTAGAATCCATGAACTTCCTGCTGGCCCGTGGTTCAGCTAAGTTGCGAGCTTCGCTCGGGCAGGTGGCCCACAAGGAATCGGTAGCACTCCTCGGAGTAAGGGCATAACTCGAGACATGGATTCACATGCTCAAGCCCGTCCCCTATCCAGTAGAGCCAACCCTCGGGATATATTATCTATACCTTCTTTTCTTCTTTAGAATATTCTTATCAACGATTTCGAATAAGCTGATGGATTTCGGAATCAAGCTACGGGTGACGTGCTGGAGCTAACCTCCGGATGGTACATCAGGCATTAGCGAGGCTCATAATCCTCTAGACTGACTGGCCACCTTCGGACCGAGGGAATGAAAGTTGAACCCTTCCTTTGTGACCGATGTGGATATCATTTGGAAATGAATGGTTCAGAAGATCTATCCTGTGCTCAAACCTTACCTTAAAGCCCGGGCCGGTCCGGTATGGAATTTTTATTTAATCCCTTAACCTTCTTTTTAGAATATTCTTATCAACGATTTGAATTAAGCTGATGGATTTGAATCTTTAACTTTTTCCCCCCATAAAATTTTATTTTATTTTTTTTTAAATTTTTATTTTTTCCTTTTTTTCTTTTTTCTCCACTTTTTTTTTGGGTTTCTCCTTCCTCTGGCCGGTCGCCGGTCCGGCGACCGGCCAGAGGCCAGAGGCCGGCGAGCTCGACCTCGCCGGCCACTGGGGAGGGCGGCCTCGCCGGATCTGGCGAGGTCGAGCCTCGCCCAGCCGCCGGCGAGGCTCGACCTCGCCAGATCCGGCGAGGTCGGGCCTCGCCCGACCATGGCGAGGCTTGAGCCCTCGCCAGAGGCCGCGGCGAGGGCGAGCCTCGCCATGGTCGGGCGAGGCCCGACCTCGCCGGATCTGGCGAGGTCGGGCCTCGCCGGCGGCTGGGCGAGGCTCGACCTCGCCAGATCCGGCGAGGTCGGGCCTCGCCCGACCATGGCGAGGCTCGCCCTCGCCGAGGCCTCCGGCGAGGGCTCGAGCCTCGCCACTTCGCCCGACCTCGCCCAGCCGCCGGCGAGGCCCGACCTCGCCAGATCCGGCGAGGTCGGGCCTCGCCCGACCATGGCGAGGCTTGAGCCCTCGCCAGAGGCCGCGGCGAGGGCGAGCCTCGCCATGGTCGGGCGAGGCCCGACCTCGCCGGATCTGGCGAGGTCGGGCCTCGCCGGCGGCTGGCGAGGCTCGACCTCGCCAGATCCGGCGAGGTCGGGCCTCGCCCGACCATGGCGAGGCTCGCCCTCGCCGAGGCCTCCGGCGAGGGCTCGAGCCTCGCCACTTCGCCCGACCTCGCCCAGCCGCCGGCGAGGCCCGGCCTCGCCAGATCCAGCGAGGTCGGGCCTCCCGACCATGGCGAGGCTCGCCCTCGCCGCGGCCTCCGGCGAGGCTCGAGCCTCGCCATGGTCGGGGAGGCCCGACCTCGCCGGATCTGGCGAGGTCGAGCCTCGCCCGACCAAGGCAAGGCTCGGCCTCGCCGGGCGAGGCGGCCTCCCAGTGGCCGGCGAGGTCGAGCTCGCCGGCACTGGCCTCTGGCCGGTCGCCGGACCGGCGACCGGCCAGAGGAAGGAGAAAGCCAAAAAAGTGGAAAAAAGAAAAACAGGAAAAAATAAAAATTCAAAAGAATATTAAAATATTATTTAATTTGTCCACGTCACGCCATTCGGCCCGTGCGTCGCCCGCACCGTCCACGTCAGAATTCCGGTCAAATGACGGAGGACTAAAGCACAAAACAAAAGGTTAGACTAAATGACCAATTTAAAAGGTTTAGGACTTAATTGCACCAAAAAGGTTTAGACTAAATTGGCACCAATGCAAAAGGTTTAGGATAACCAAAAAAGGTTTAGACCAAGACTAATGCAAAGGTTAGACTTTTGACTTTTCCGAATGAACTTATAATCATCTCAAACATTGGAACCCATGGTTATGGACTCGAATCCATTATGAGTGACACCCTCATTTTGTGTTGTTAAGACATGCGCCTACAGAGAAAGTCGATCCAAGATGGGCCTCATTGCGAAAAAAAAGGTTTTCGCCCAACAATATGCATATGAGTGCCTTTCTTCTTCTTTTTTTATGCACCAAGTGGTTTTCTGCAAATCTCAACAAGTTACTCTCATCAGACTTCAATTCAATTGGTTCGCACTCGTTTGAAAAATGCATTAAATGAATTTAGTATACTTTATTAGAATCAATACGAAGAAAATGCCTGGTTGGTAAAGGTTATAGAGTAATTTTATCATTGCATACGCATCACGTAGGTATCCAAGTGCTTTGCTATTCAGTGCAATTTATCACTATTTACAACCTACCGTGATTTATCAATATTTACCTAACTTTTGATGATGAGAATGAGTTGACCAAAAAAAAATTAGGAGGATGAGATCAATCATGGTCGTCACCAATTGACTAAGACAATAGAAGTTATTTCGTCCCACTTTGGTTCCTTTGTGGAAAGCTAAGACTTAAAAGGAGGACACTTCTGGACCGTGCGCATGTGCGACATTACGTGAATATCTAAGGTACTAGATTGATGTACCCGATTTTCCAATAATTTATGTAATCTGCCTTCGTAATTTGAATCGGTCTTTGTTTATGGGCCCTTCATATAATTAACGTAGTAAGACGATAACCCTAGTTAAACAAAGCTCATTCCATAAGTTTCTCGAGATCGTGTTTTCCTCCATCCTCAGTTAGAGGAAACTTTCTCTAATTAGTTCTTCTGATCGACGGATTTACAAACATGGACATCACCCGCAATTATATTTAATTAAATTTGCGTGTATGTGATATCCGTAATTTGTAACTCTTCAATCAAAAGCATGATTGGAGGAAAATCTTGCCCTTAATTATGATTAGCCAGACAGAGAGGAAGATAATTGCTTAATGAATATGTTATAGGGCCAACTCGTAGGCCTCGTTTTGATTGCAAGTATATTCTTTCCGTGTCATCTTATTTTTGTCGTTCATTCGTGTTATTGTATAATATCAAACTTTTCAACATGAATGCAGATATTTTTGGGTTAATACCACGTAAAACTACAAATCGGTACACCTGTGACAAATTTACCCCAAATTAATTTTTTCACCACTAAAACCCAAAACTGATACACTTGTGACAAATATACTCCAAACTAATTTTTTTATCACCAAAAACCCCAGGCACATTTTGTGACATATTTACCTTCCGTTAGTTTCAGTTATATTGGATTAATACCACGAAAAATCACAGATTGGTACACCTGTAATAAACGAAGGGTAAAACCCCGAATCGATATACCTGTCAACTGTCACGTGTCATCAAACTCAGCAATTTGACTGTAAAATTTAACGAAAACTAACGAATGATAAATTTGTCATAGATATACCAATTTAAGATTTTTTGTGATTAAAAAAATTAATTTGTGGTATATTTGTCACAGATGTACTAATTTGAAGTTTTTGTGATATTTGCCCAACACTTTTGTTTTTTTATAGAAGCAATGTCGGACTCGAGTAGTATCGTATCTAGGAAGGTTAATCTTCCCATGGAGGTGCCCAAAATAAGATAATTCCAGTTGTTTACCATTGCAATTGGCAAGTCGTGCCAAGCCAGAAGGCGACAATGGAGCTTTTGTCAGACGGTGTGGGTATGAGTAAGCAAATCATTAAAACAAAACCCTACCGACACATGCACTTGGCTATATATATATCATATTGGCCTCTTTACAATCTTCAGTATGCAAATGAAAAGAAAACGTCAAGAAACAAAAACATAAAATTAAGGAAAAGCCTATATGGTTTCTCTCCCACCTCCAAAGCTTCCCTTGATAGATTTCTGTAAACATGACATGAAGCCAGGAAGCACCCGCTGGGATTCAGTGCAAAAGGAGGTTGTCAAAGCACTTGAAGAGTACGGTTGTTTTGAGGCTCTCTATGACAAAATCAGTGCTGAGCTCTACAACGATGTCTTCGAACAAACGGAAGATCTGTTCAATCTTCCGGCCAAGACGAAGTGCAGTTTCGTCGACCCCCGAAAGCCGCGCGACGGCTATGTCCCGAACAGACCTCATTTGCCTCTCTACCAAGCGATGGGAATCACTGGCATGCTCGACTCTGGAGGCATTCAAAAGTTAGCCAATCTCATGTGGCCCGAGGGGAATCCAAAATTTTGGTACAATTGTTTTGTTCGAAACCAGTAGTCCGCAATCTTCTTTTGGTGTTTGTATTGACAATTTCTTTTTATTGGCTAAAAGTATGTGATTATCTTATGACCTTTATCTTTTGGAAACAACAACCGTAGTTTTCGTGATCATACCTAAATATATATGCAGTGAAACGCTCACTTCATATGCAATGAGGCTCTCCGAGTTGGAATCGCTGATAAAATGTCAGTAAAAACTCCAAACTGTCTTGTTGATAATAAGATGAGGTCTGTTCGGGATGTGAAGTGTTGCCTCTCTATAAAATGAGTTGCCTCATTTCATTCCCTTCTCTCCCGCCAAGGCATCTATAAAATGTCTTGTTGATAATAAGATCTATGAATCAATTTGAAACGAATTGTTGGCCAGGGATGGAGCAATGGCCGATTGCACTGCCCTAGACACCGGGTGATGATGAGCGAGAACAAGACGAGGTATTCGGTCGGCTCGTTCTCAGCCATAAGAGGAGTGATTGCGTGCCCGCCCGAGCTGGTCGACAAGCAACACCCTGTGCTCTTCAAGCCCTTCGACGAAGTCGGTCTGCTCCGATTCGCCATAACAGAGCAAGGCCTCAAGGCCGAGTCGACTCTCAAGGCCTATTGTGGTGTTTGAACATGTTTTAACTATTATACTCCCGGAACGCTCCGCTTTTATTAGTGAAAGCAGGGCTTGAAGATAGGCTTCTCCAATAATTTTGTGTAACCCGTGTTCGTAATTTGAATCTGTCTTTGTATACGCGCCCTTCATATAATTAATATAGAAAGACTATGACCCTAGTGTAAAAAATCCCTTCCATTGATTCGGCATGGCCATGTTTTCATCCATCCCTAGCGAATAAAAACTTAAGTCGAATTCGTTCATCTGATCGATGAATGGACATTACCCGTATTTATATTCAGTGACGTATGTGATGCCCATTATTTAGAACTCACGATTGGAGGAAAATATAGCTCTCGATCATGGTTTATACAGAGAGGAAGATAATTTCTTAATAAAAACTTTCATAAGGGCAACTTGTATACAGATACAATCTGATGGGGTCCAAATGTTTTTATTAGGGATGGCAATCGCATTCTGTGTGTCGATCATTCGTATAAGAGTTAATATCACGGAAAACCCCAAACTGGTACACCTCTGACAATTTTACTCAAAAAAAAAAATTTTACCACCAAAAACCCCAAATTGGTATACCCATGACAAATTTACTCCAAACTAATATTTTGACCACTAAAAACTCCAAACTTGTACATTTATGACAAATTTACCCTCCCTTTGTTTCCGTTAAATTGGATTAATACAAAAAAAATCACAAATTGGTACATCTGTGACAAACGGAGGGTAAAACATAAAACTGGAACATCAGTGAACTGTCGTATGTCATTTAACAAAGCAATTTGACAGAAAAATTTAATAGAAACAAACTGAGAGTATATTTGTCACAGATGTATCAATTTGGGGTTTTTTGTAGTCAAAAAATTAATTTTTGGTAAAATTGTCACAGGTGTACCAGTTTGGGGTTTTTCGTGGTATTAACCCTTCGTATAATCATGAAAATGTTTCAACATGAAAACAAATAAGATAATTCCAATTGTTTTATTATTTCAATATTTCAACATGGCAAGTGATGTCAAGCCAGAAGGCGACTTTGAAGCTTTGTCAGACGGCGTGGGGTAAAGTAGACAAATTATTGAACAAAGCCCAACCGCATCATGCACCAACTTTTTTTAGATATGGATACGTCAACAAGATATGAAGAAATATATGCCAAGTCTTGGACGCAACCTTATTGGCCTCTATAAAATCTTCGATATGCACATGAAGAAGCATCAAGAAAATTAAAAGAAAAGAACACTAAAAGGAAAAGCCAATATGGGTTTTTCTTGGGAAAATTACCAAAAAAATTATAAACCTATTAAAATTGTGCCAATTCAGTTCTAAATTGTTTTTTGTGACAATTCAGTCCTAAACCTTTTACATTTATATCAATTCAGTCCATCCGGTCAATTTTGGCTATCCAGCATTAACGGGGACGCCGGCCAGAGCCAGCTGTCAGACCGACACTGCCGTGATAATTTTTTAATATTTTTTCGAAACATGTCTCTACAAATGAGAGAACTTAAAGACACGGAGAATCTTTTCTCAACGTTGAAAAATGTTGAGAAATTAAGGCTCTCTTTATTACGCGAAAAATAAATCATTTGAAAATTATTTTTCTAAAAGTAATCATTCATATCGCTTGAAATAATTAATCAAAGAAAGATATTTCATTATGGACAATAATTAATATCTAAATATTTTTATGAACGATAAAAAAATTTCAATTGGTCATTTTTATAAGTGATATAAGTGATCATTTTGAGAACAATGCTTTCCCAGTCATTCATATTCCGTGAAACAGACGCACCCCAAGAACATTTTGAGTTCTAAATCAAATAGCATAACGTAATCTGAATAGAAATCATGTCAAAGAATCCTGAAAAAGCAAAGTCAATAAATCTGTCGAAAAAGATGAAAAGGATTTCCTTAACTGAGCAAGAGAACCAGGGAGAGGAGACTGGTGATCGATGGTGAGCCGAAAGAGAGCATTTAGATCAAGAGCAGATTTCACCAAGCTCGCCCCACTCCTTAAACATAAGCTCTTTCGAACATCTTTTGACAAGTAAACTGAAGGTACAGAAAAGGAAAGGTACAAGTAAGCTCATCGACATTGTTGATGACATTGCAGTTGGACATGGACTTCTATACCGACTCAGCGACTCTCGGCACTTTCCGACGTATCCGTCAAAAGGACAGACGGATACTGATGGCATTTGAACCAAATGAAGAAATGACTTTGCTTTTGTTAAGCTAAAACATATACACCCCAGCCCAGAATCCAATATGATATGTGATTATCCGAATTCACTTCCTTCTAGCTAGAACTTAAAGCCGAAACAATCATACTGCATGAGGAACCACAAAAATGAAAACAAAAATTACACCCAAAATCGATAAAACCTAGATATCTAACGGATGTCTCATTCTTTGAAGTCGTCTTTGTCATCGATCAGGACTGGTCTGTTTCTCCAGAAAACAGCAAGTGCACTCCCGCCAAGCTGTGAGAAGAGTGATTATCAGCAAGTGAGAATGCCAGAGATGAATAACTCAAAAAAAAAAATCACACCACAGGAACAGAGTTGAAACAGATGTTTTGAGTGTCAGAATTTACCGCCATGCAAACCACGCTGACCGCAGAAGGAACGGCTACCAGAGGATTGGTGAAATGTTTCTGGGCGAGAAGAAATCCAAGGGCAGAACTCTGCAAATGTCGAACAGGTTTGAATTTGTAAGATATTCGATTCACTCAGAGGAACTAGTAGAGTAGACAGACGTTTCACCCAATTTCAGCTAAAAGAAAAGGCAATCAAGAGCCATGCACGGCACAAAGAGAAAGCATTAATGCCCAAGGCAATGAAGACTTTGACTAGGCTTTCCTGCCGATCAAAAGTTCACTCAAAAGAAGAAAAACTGTACTATTGTTTCCAATAGAAGTCCACAAATTTTCGAAGCAATATTAGTAGCAACTAATAGCATACCTCACATAAAGACATGTGTACATGAACCTTTTTAGGTCATATACTTGTACGTGTCCATGGACCTTACCTTCATCAAATTTTAAGCATAAAAGTGTGGGGACTAATATAATTTAAGAGTAATTCAGAATAGACAGCCATGAGAAATCTCTCAATTTAACAGTTCAAAACTTCAAAGTGACTATATAACTACGGGAGAATGATTCTACCCATATGTCTCCTCAACCACAAGAATCGTATTTCACTGAAAATGACATGAGAATGATCTCAAAAAAATTGTGACAAACAAGAATTTATTGCTTATAGTAAATATGGTGTTAAAGGACTATCCAGAGACCACTGCAACAAAAGATTTATAATTGCTCATTTTAACAACAGAAATGTTTCGGTAACAGTTCTAGCAAGAGCATCATGCTCCTCTTCAGTCCAATTGCTTAATTGCAATTGGAAAATGGCACCTTGGAAACACCGATTCTGCTGAACTTTGTAAAATGTACAATAGTAATCATACAATTCACAATGACCATGGTCAGCAATGACAAGAGACAATAGACTCTACTGATACTAAAAAATCAAGATGGAGGGTCTTTGAATTGAAGTTGAAAAACAATAAAGGTTAGTTGTGCTCTTTAATTCCAGCAACAAAATTAGGCAGTCAAAGGGCAGCAAGAAAACAACAGAACAGAAAAAAATAATGGAAGACGGTTACCTGCATCCCACATTCAATAGAAATAGTGCGGGAAGTAGATTCACCAAATGACAATTTCGACATCCAATATCCAATGGCAAAGGCAGCGCCGTGCAGGAGAGCTACTGGTAAGAGAAGTTGCGCTCCTTGAGTTTTCAAGACATCTGCAACTTGTCCAATCTATTGAAAGTACATCAGAGTCAGATCTTACCAGAGTTTGGCAATACAAGAAAGAAACAAGCAGTGAAAAACCATATCTAGATATTAATTTGATTCACTTACAGGGCTTGCACAAAGTAAGGTGGTCAGAATAACTCCAATCAATGGGGTCAACGCGACTATTTTCGAAGTAAACTTGGGAAAAAATTCATTGGCCAACACTGTCATAAACAACAGACAAGGGTTATCTCATTTATTGACTATTTTCTCGCTCTTCCTTCCAAGCGACTCTAGTTTGAATTTTAACAATCATCTGCTTACCTCCAACTATCGTTGGCACCAAAACAACCTGAAAAGTACTGATAGCCAGGCCCTGCAAGTATTTGTTGACTATAGTGATTCCATGATCCCTCAGTACGTAACAATCATACATAGCTGGATGTAGTGGGTATGTACAACAATGCAAACACATTGAACTATGTATAGTACATACACCACATATATCCGCATGTGCATGCCTACTAATACAGCAATGAAGAAATGAATTATGTACAACAAAAGAGTTTTTCAACAAATCTCGTCTACTCGAGATAGATTAGATAAAATATGCATTTCTCACTAATTTCCTTCCATGCTACTGTAACTCATCATCACAGGAAAGATGAAGCACTCCAAAAAGCAAAACTTTTCCACATCTAGACTTTTGAGACTCTTGGGAAACAAAATAATTCCAAGTGCTCAAGCCAAAGCCTCTGAACGAACTGCCAGCCACTGAAGATGTCTGTAGTTCAACAAGATCAACTCAGAAGCTAAGCATTTCAACACTGCCTTCCACATCAGTGCTTCAGTGAACAATCTTAAGCATCCATTTAATTTGAAAATCAACTAATTGGTCTACCATTCAAATGCAATCTTATTCTCATACTTTTAGCATATGAAGAGGCAATGATACTTATGCTGTACTCACCGCAGCATCCACAGGAACAAGCTGGCCAGCAAGAAGCTTAGTGAGGAGAGGCGTCATCACAATGGCACCAATAGTCGAACACCTGCAAATTTTTTTTAAAAAAATGACAACCTATAGAGGGAAAAAATCAGGACAAACGCATCGAAAACTATCATGCAGAACATGTTTAAAGTTTGCACGGGTATGTTATTCAAAGTTAGTATCCTTTTTTTATTTCCATATGGTCCACAATGATCAGCCAAAACATTTTAAGAGGTATGTCCATCATGTTATCCGCTCATGTTGATACAAAAAGCGAAAAGATAAGCAACAGTAGTATGCTCTAAAGATGCCTAACTTGCACACTAACAATACTCGGCATATGATGACTGCAAACCTGCAAATAGGCAAAAGAAACACCACATGCTTATGAAATCAACTTGATATAGTAAAAAAAAAATCAATATCTCACACCATAACTGCTCCCACACCTTCATTAAATAACTTTGTATTTAGGAATTTTAAAGTGAAAAGACGGAATATTGCAGCTTCGAAAGGAGAAGAAGAATTACAAAAATCCCACATGAGGTAAAATGTTCAGGAATTTACATATATCGCAATAGGAACATGAAAAGAACCGATCAATGGCAAGAGCTAACATGAACAAAATATGCAATGAAGCTTTGGAAAGAGGTTGTCTGCTTATGCTAGAAGAAGAGCAAAAGTTTACACATACGTCAAGACTTACGTTGTCATGAGGACGGAGAGTGCTACATTCCCCTTAGATATATAAGTTGCAACATTGGACGCTTGACCTCCAGGGCAGCAGGACACCAATATAAGACCAGTTGCAAGCGGTGCAGACAACTTTAAAGTCTGGAAAACATGGAAACTTTGTTAATGATAAATTTCAGAGACAGATACACAATTTAGAACTCTAGTTACACACCCAAGCTGGAAGATCATGGAAACTTGGTGGGTGACGAATTTCAAAACAGGATACACTAGCATTTTGACAAATAGAGCTGCCAGCGCATTAAAGAAAAATCATATTTTAAATTGCTGAAGACAGCAAATACAAAGATATCTGCAGCACCTCCTGTTCTCAGAGACTTTTGCCATTGCAGTATCCATTGAGATTTTAAATATAATTTTCCAGCACTCCAAGAGTTTCTTTGCCAAACCCAATTCAGTTTGAAGATCCCAATTCGGAAGTATTATTTAAAGGCAACAATTACTCATCGTATCCATATCCATGCAATATTTACAATAAAAGAATTGGGCATCACTTGGAGTCAAGCCTTCCAAAGGGTGAGGAGGCTAAGGTACAGATTTGGACGTTTAAAGAAGGATAGAGTTCCCTGTGTGAGAAGATGAAAATATGGAAGGAAAAAGATGGGACAGGCACAAACACACAAAAAACCAAGTGCCAAGTGTGTTTTCACTTGGAATTACTTGATTGAGTATATCATAACACAGGAATCTTCTGTACTAATGCAATCAAAGGAGAAAGGAGTCCTGATCTGGCTAGAAACCAGGCATCTTAACTGAGATGCTGATAGTTTTGTCAAGGGAACATGAGTTGATACGCAGAAACATCCGTACTAATGCAATCAAAGGAGAAAGGAGTCCTGATCTGGCTAGAAACCAGGCATCTTAACTGAGATGCTGATAGTTTTGTCAAGGGAACATGAGTTGATACACAGAAACATCCGTCTTCCATTTTCCCAAAAAAAAAAAATCATTGTATCATACAACTCTAGACACCCAAAAAATTTCGAGAACACTAAATTGTCTGCTATAATGATCCCATTAGAAATAGCACTGATTCTATTTAAGTTACAGGCATTTAAATTAGATTCCTAAAGCATCTACAGTGTAAGGTAATTTTGAAGTCCTCAGGTTTGCATCAATATTTCATTGTCAGAGATCAAAACAGGCCAAAGTAGGAACTTCTGAATGGGATGATGAAAGAAGTACCATTGCAATAACAAAGCCCAACAGTGGTTTGATGAGGTACTGGGCCAAAAATCCCACACCTACCTGCAACAATAAAGTTTCATAAGGTCAAAAAGTGAAATGAAAAAGATGACCTTTCATAAGATTTGACAATTATCCTCCTAACTTATATGGATAAAGATGCCGCTTACAGTCCAAGGATTCCGCAAACATCGCCTGAAATCCTCAAATGTCAATGTCAACCCCATAGAAAGCATGAGGAAACCCAATCCAACAGTGAAAAGATCAGTTTCCAGCCAAGTAACCTGAATGACATCCCAACAATGAAATATCGACAGAAAAGACATTATCAACAGTAAAGGCAGCATGAAGGACTTGTAGTTACCGCAGCTGGTTTGTAGATCCCAACAATGGTTCCCAAAATGACCTGGTGGAGTAAATGATTTTAAGATACTACATCTTCCAGAAAATAAATATCTTGAAAAACACATATATGGGGAGCCTCGTGCACAGGCACAATGCAACTTGAAGGTGTAAGAGATACAAAGAAAATAACAGCGCATCAGAAAGCTTTAAAATAGGTACGTACCCAAACAGGAAAAAGGGTGGTCAGAGTTTCAACAATTCTCTCATACTGGCTCATCCCACCGGGAGTGCTGGCAGGAATTTCCCCAGGGGCATTTGTTGCAGCCTTGCACAAAGTTGCCAATTTCCTAGATATGAAATCCCAGAAAGTGATATTAGAGACATTAAAGATGTAAAAGGTCATGCTAGCAGGAGAGAGAGAGAGAGAGAGAGAGAGAGAGAGAGAGAGAGAACTACCGACCAAAACTCTCAAATATATGATAAATTTCACTGCTATTTTGTAAAAAAAACTGCCAATGACAGATCAATCTTGGTGCCCAGCCGACAACTTTAAATTGTTCAAATGTAAAATTCAAGACTAGTAGTCAGCTGGCCAGAAAGCAAACCTCCTAGCAGGGGAATTTTCCATGAGAAGAGATTGAAACTTCAAGAGAGAGACCATTCACTTATGAAGTGAAACAAAGAACTAATAATAAACCCTTTGGCATTTGCAAGTAGGATAAAGGATATACTTATAGTACTAGTATTATTATTAGATCATATCATCCTTGCAGAATTAGAGAACCAATGATCTCTATGCATGGCCTACTCCTAGAGATTAAATAAATTTCTTGGTGCACAACAATCCCAACAATAGAAAGAGGATGCAATCACCCCATGCATTTAGGATAGTCAAAAGTCAATGCTGGTTGGTCGGATCATACTAGTCAATTCTCAAAATCTTAGTCCAGGTCCAATCTTCCAATTTGCAAAGCTTAACCCCAGGTTCAATCCAGAGCAGAAACCTCCAGCAGAATCAGCACCGCTGAGCCACAAAAAGATACCTTGAAGATGGATTAGGTGTTGTTGCAACAGCAACCGCAGAAGTCTGCAACCGGTTCTTGACAGCCAGACTCCTTCCATTCTCACAAACAGAATTGTCCCTACTGAGATCTAACAACAAACAGAAAAAAAAAAATGAAGAAGATTAGCAAAATGAATGATCTTGAGTAGACCAAACTATGAAAAGACTAGGAGAACACACTCAAAAAGGTATGCACATCAAAGTACACGCACCACCCAACTAGCCAGAAAGGTTGCAAAATTGAAAAGTACCCAGAAAGTAAAACTCCAGCCAAAACCCACAAAGGAGCATCAAGAGTTCAGACATACCAAGACGAGACACGACTCCCCGTGTCGGATAGCAAGAGCTTGATCTGTAGCGAGCGCCACACGTCCGAACTTTGCAGTCTTTCAGGACCAATCCAGACATGGACGCCATTGCAAGAATTCTCAAGATTGAATCAAGAAGAAGGGTATCACAGACTAGTGAAGAGTTGCGAGTTCAAAGTGAGAACGGACCTCCTCCGGTGGTCCCTGGAAGTGAGGAGGAATTTGGCAAAGGGACGGAGGGGATTTCGCTCCCAAAACCCAGAAGGCGACATGGCGAGCGTTATCCAATAATTTCCATTGCCACCGTGGAAACCGATGAGCCACACACGAAGTCGGAGCCGAAAGAACGAGATGGTCCCATCCTGTGTCTGATGTTCTTCGTTTTCTCCGCAGTTGGCCCTTTTTGGGATGGCTATTGTTAGGGTGGGTTTAGTAATCATTATATTTTTGAAAATAATTTTTGTTTAAAAATAATTTTTTTAAATTTTATTCTCAATAATAATTTTTATTCGTTTGAAGGTGTTTGGTAAATGTTCAAAATTTTTATTCTTGAAATAGAAAAAGAACAGAAATACAAAATTTCTTTTTATTAATAATATTTGGAATTTTTTAATATTTTTTTCTTTTTATTTTTCTTTTTTTTTCTTCTTCTTCCCCTTCCTTGGTCATGGTCAGGTCGCCGGCGTCGGCAACCAATCACAGACCAGGGCCGACAAGGATGTCGCAGCCCTCGCCGGCCACAGGCGAGGGCTGGACCCTCACCGCCTCGGCGAGGGCTGCCGGCCACCGGCGACCGACCATAGGCCAAGAAGAAAACGAAGAAGAAGAAAAAGAAAAAAAAATTTCCATTTCTGATTCTTGTTTCCTGCCTTTTTTATTTTGTTCCAAAACTGATTCTGGGCACAAATTTGGGAACAAATTTGTGCAAATTTGTGCTCGGGAACAAAAAATTTACCAAACGGATTTCTGTTCTTTTTTTTTCCAAGAAACAAAAGAATAAAATCAATTACTATTTGACAAATTACCAAACACATCCCTGATGTCCGATGGTGGCTACTTCATTTAATGAGCTGAGATGGCCTCCTACGTTATGAATGACTCATCGTTGCGTCATTCATAACACTGTACTTAGTAGGGGACGGTTCCCGATCCGGTCTGGTTTCAAGGTGAAATAGGAAATCCAACCCAAGTTTGAGAATAGGGGAACAGGCTGGTTGGTCCTAGGACCGAGAACCGGACCGGATCCGGTCCGGTCCAATAGAACCAGTCACTTTTATATTTTTTTTCCACCACAACGAGAAAGAGTGACAAATCTCAATATATTGACGGAAGGGACGATGAATAAAGAGTCATTGTGGTGCAACGATAAGGGAAAAGCATTGTATGTGGGTTTAGTTCACATTTTACTAACTTTTTTGAAGAAATAAAAACTAAAAACAAAGTATATGTAGTCGGTCCGGTCCGGTTTCCCCTTGGAACAGGGACTCGGACAACCAGACCAGACTGCCCGGACACCAATTCCACTTTTAGGAACTGGAAACCGAACCAAACCGGGCGGTCCGAGCGGTCTGTTTTGCACGCCTCTAATATTTAGTAGAATAATAGTAATACGGATAAGGAAAAATTTTAACTAAAAGTTTGAAGTGAGATCATTTTTTCAAAAAAAATGCTTAAAATGAACTTTGTTTCAAATAAGGGCCTAAAGTGGCTAAGTGAGTCTCAAATAAGGGCCTAAACTTACTAGCCGGCCAAATGTTCGCCGGAAGACATTTTCCGGCGACCAAAACAGGGGTATTTTTGTCCAAAATTCCGAATTGTATTAAGATCAAATCTTACATCAATTTTTCACGTTTTCTTCTTCCTCATCCGCTGTTCCTCAAGCAAATCCTTCTGGCCCGTTCCTCAGTCGCTCTGTGCCCGGTCATCGCCGCCCATTGCCCGATCCTCGTTGCTCCTCGCGACCGTAGTGTGTCTTCCGCGGTCGTCTCTTCTTTCCCAGGTAGGGTGTTCAAACTTGGGTTTGAGTCTGATTTGTTCGTGACGGACGCCTTGATCACTTGTATTCGGCTTTCCAGAAGACCTAGAGTGGCCGCTTGGTGTTTGACGCCGGGTCTGTTCTGGATTCCATTCGCTGGAATGTTACAATAGATGGCTATGTGATAAATGCAGAAGTTGGTTCCGGTGCGTTAACTGTTCGATGAAATGACTGAGAGGGACGCACTTGGACCTTGATGATAAGGGGTTACACTAGGAGAGGCGAGATGGAAGAGGCGAGACGGTTTTTCGATAGAATGCCATTCAGAGACACCTTTTTGTGGAATTGTATCGATGGGTAGGATTGGTTTGTTTTTTGGTGGCTCTTGAGTTGTTTAATTCAATGCCTTCTTGTAATGATTTAAGATGCAATAATGCTGGAATTGTGATCACTCAGTTCCTGTTGATATTGGACCAGTGCATACATTTGTTGTTCCACAGTTCCACATGTAAATAACTATATTTTAAACAAAACACTAGGTGTTCGGAGTTTTTCTGGAATTTCTGAGTGTTAAGTTATGTGTCTTAATTGCACATAATGATAAGGTTATTTACTACCATATTATCAATTGATATGTCTGTCACTATGATCATAATGGTTGCGTTATACTCTGCAAGGTGACAGTGGATTGTTTGTACAAGGGCACTTCATGTTGTGCTACTTCTTACCTTCCAGTGCACCTGACAAGCTGAAGTTTATGCAGATATCTTAGCTTTAACAACTTTAAGGGGGAAATTCCGACGGAGTTTGCAAATCTTCCTAAACTTTGATATCTCTATCTACAAGAGAATCATTTGACAGGATGAATTCCACCAGGATTGTGGCAACTTGCCATATCCGCGTCACCCGTAAATTTTTCTACTCATTGGGCAATTTTTCAATGGAGCACTCATCTCATTCTTACTAGTTATAAATAGCATTGCTATGTTGTGCTTCCTTAGGATGTTAGCAACAGACATTTGGTTGGTACTTTGAGGGAACTGACACAAATGAAGGCTGCTATCCGCTTTTAGGAACTTGTAAGTATAATTGCTGGCAAGTATGTAGTTATTAACTCCAGAACCATCTCGCCTCTTAACCCCCTATCATAAAGGTCGAAGTGCATCTCTCTCAGTCATTTCATCGAACAATTCACGCGCAGAATCAACTTCTGAATTCATCACATAACATTTAGCAATGCAGCAAAAGGAGTCCAGAACAGACACCGCGTCAAACACCAAGCGAGCACTCCGGGGCTTCTTGAAAGCCGAATACAAGTGAATCAAGGCATTGGTCACGAAAAAATTTGGCTCGCACCCAAGTTTGAACGCCCTAGTTGGGAAAAGAAAGGACGAACGGATGATTTACCAATTTTTTTTGGTTCTTCAATTACTTTACTGCAATGAAGCGCAGGGATTTTCCATTGTATTTGAACTGTTTATATCTACAAAAACAGAGATTTCCATCTCGCTTTAAGGAGCGGGACAAGAAAAAAGAGCAACGAAGGTGGCGAGGAACCAAGAGAAAATGCATAGACAAGCCGTTACTTGATTTTTTTGCCGCTTTGTTCGGTATGAACCCGCTCTAGAGCTGAGGGTAGACTTTGCATAACGAGCAACTGTAAATATATTTATAGTAGAAAATCAAAGACACATGCTGAAGAAATAAAAAAAAACATGAAAAATTGAAAGAAGAAGTTGATTTTAATTCAATTTGGAATTTCGGACAAAATTACCCCTATTTTGAGTTCAATGGCTCATTTGCAACATAGAAGCATCCGGTACACTACATAGAGGTAAAATTTGCGCCCAATAGAATCACTACTGATGATAACTGACGGCTGATTGAATGCAACTGAAAGTAACTTCAACTACCGAAACAACTAAATAAAAGCTAAGAATGTATAGATCAGTGCAATCAATCAATGAAGCATCACATCAAAAATTGACATATATTAATCCATATCACTATTTGACAACATCAATTTACATCACTCCTATAAAACTAGGGAATAAGTGCATTAGAAATCCCAAAACTCTATCAGAAAGTGCAATTGAGTCCTAAAACTTTCAAAAAAAATCCACTTCATACCATTTTTTAAGAAAATGGCCCCACTTCATACCCTTATTCAAATTTTCCCTATGGAGAATAATAATAATAAAAGTAAGGGTTAATACCACGAAAATCTCAAACCGATCATGACAAATTTACCTGCGTTGGTTTTCGTTAAATTTTACTTGTCAAATTATTAAGTTGGATAACATATGACAGTTGACGGGTATACTAATTTAGGATTTAACCCTTCCGTTTGTCACAGGTTTAGCAATTTGTAGTTTTTCGTGGTATTAATTCAATTTAACGGAGGGTAAGTTTGTCATGAGTATATCAGTTTGGGGTTTTTGATGGTCAAAAAATTAGTATGAGACAAATTTATCATAAGTATACCAGTTTGAGATTTTTCATAATATTAACCCTAAAAGCAATAGCTATAATAGTAAATAGTGAAAAGAGGCTACTAACGTTAATGACCTTGTTGAATATCTTGAAAAAATGTTTTGAGATTGTGAACTTCGAATCGGCATCGCCCTTATTCACAATATCAATTATCTCAATCATAGTATATTATCTAATTATCTAATTGAATGGATTTGAGCCATCAACTTCGGTCATCATTTGTGATCCCCACTAGTTTATCTGTCCAGATCATTTTTTTATGAAATCTTAGGAAATTTTTGTTTATTTTTTTAGTATTTATTTAATTGGACTACCTATTTCTACGTATTTTAGTAGGATTCTGAAAACGGGTTACTCTAAGTAGGAATTTACATTTCAAATTTATTGATTTTTAAGGTGTGTTTACTTCGCGAAAATCAGCAATTTGAAAAAGGATTTTTCTAACTTGGATCGTTTACATCACTTGGGAAAAACGAGCTGATAAAAATTATTAGATATTTAGGCATAGGGTATTAATATCGATGAAAACATTTTCATTAACCCATTTTCCTATAATTCCTACAATATAAAAGACCAAAGGTTGAAAAAAATTTCGCGAAACAAACACATCCCATGTCAATTCAGTACAAGAGCAATCTTTGTTCTGCAGTACCGAATCAAAGTCAAAATTCCTAATTATGGTGGAAACTTGTGGAAAGGTTACCCAATCTCGTGGAAGAAAAGGTGGTTCGATTTCTCCTTTCTTTTACCTAGGTTAGGGTTTTCTCTCCTTCCTCTTGAAGTCGCCGCCTCTTTGGAGTGCCATGCCTAAGGCGAGAGACTCTCTCTCTCTCTCTCTTCCCTCTTTTGAAGCTCTCTATCTTTCTATTTTCTCCCGATCTGTTATGGGAGTTTGTGTGTATGAATAAATTTCATCTGCAGATCTTGGATGAACGTGGAGACCAGTTTGACTATTCGTTCAACAACCACTGCGAGGAGGATGTTCGTAATGTCGCTCCGCAATCTTTCCGAGATTAAACCACTCTTCTCTCCCGAATTTCGATTTAGGTCAAGTTTTGGAGGTTTTACTCTTTCAAATTAGATCTTAATATAAATTTGGGAGTTTCTTAGAGGTATTTGATATGTGTTCTTGTAATATTTTGATGTTGGTGATTCTACATTGCGACAGTGATAAGAACGTTGAACCTAGATGCACACCGCAAGTCGTTGCAAATGAAGTGGGAGATCTCGGCGTGTACTCATCACTGAAATTGGTGATCGATCGCCGAGCGTTTACGATAGTAGATTTGTTCTTGAGGGATGAAAGTATGCTTCTAATTGCAGACATTATTTTGTTATTTGCTTTATGGCTTTTGCTTTGATCTGCAGTTATTTGAAATTTATTGGGCTTGAAAGCTTTCTATATACCTTTTTAGTATTATTTTGATATATAAATAACATCTTTCTTTCGACAAAAAAAAAACTTGTGGAAGAAACGCTCATCGAAGCCAAATTCTTCTTATTGAGGGAGTACCAAGCAGGATGGATGTTCATCAAGACTGGAAATTTAGCTTGATCAATTAATCTACAAGATTATGACGTCATACTAGGATAATTTCATTTATTACATAATATTTATGTGATTAGACTGCTATTTAATTATATCATTTCAATAAAGATCTGATTCTAGGTTATTATATGTAAGAAGCTGATCCTTCAAAGTAACGAGTTTTTCCTATGTGATTCAATACACTGGACTCATATCAAGAAGTGTTTCCTACAAAGTTCTTTCTCTTTTGTCGCTCGCTGAATCTCCTTTCCTTTCTATCTTCCGATCTCCCTATCACTTAGCGTTCGATTCGTCGATCTCATCCAGCGACCATTTTCTATTCGGCCCACATTTCCAAAGCTTGCCCTTCACGGGCCGTGGATTTTGGAAGTCGCCTGGCCCTCTTCCTTGCGGCGTCATTGTTCGACCTCAAGCCTCGTTGGGCTCCGTCCTATAGTCATAGATATACAAACAGTTCCACTATACGATCGAAATTTGCATGTTCAGTAGTGCCATCTTTTCCGTGCGTGCCCATGGCACCAAATTCAAGTGCTTGCTTTACAATAATAGTACATAAACAACACAAATTACACTTACAACACATAAAATGACTCGGTCCATAGTATGATCAAACATCTAAGTGGGACGAAAAGGCGACACAATAGTAATCTCTAGACTCAATTCCATGATTCAAAAGATCAGCCAACGGGCTTTGATATAGCGTACACGAATCAAAACATTGACAACTTGTTTGTACCTCGGGCCTTGACTAAAACTTTTGCACAACTCTCTTCTCACGTAACTTTCTGGCTTATCAATTCTGCGGCCCGTAAAGCAAAAAAATGAAGGCAATGCTTCGCTTCACGCGACCTTGGATATGCTGTTTACGTCTAAGAAATATTTGTCTCCTACCTTCTCCTATCTAATAGCAATTCATTGATTAAATAAGGAAGTTAAGAAGGATGGAAACTATAAATTATACAAATTACAGGACAGAAGGGAAAAAAATCGTGATTAGGCCCGTAACAAATCCACCGATGAAGATCATTCATGTCGCACGAGACTTGGCGTTTCAATCACTTCTCCTTCGTTGATGCACGTTGAGATAAACCATCAACGACCGAGGTATGTTGAGACACCTGTAGGAGTCCTCTGCGGGATAAAATGTCCCTGTCCGGCTTGAAATACCATTTTCCCAGTTCCTCATTGGAAATCGTGTTTTGGTGAGCAACTGTGATAGTCACGGAAGATATAACAAAAGAGGAGGAAAAGGCTCTTCATCTATGGGAAGATCTTTTGTGATTGTTTTGTCTACCTCCAAAAGAGTTCCGTTCTCCCTAACGTAAAGGCGTATTTTACCAGTTGGAGAACATTATACTGGAAGAGCAAAGCTTAGCTTCTGACATCTCTATGTGGGAGCTTTGAGCTCCAATTCCCAAATTGCGAATGCACGTGAGATTTGGGTCCTATTTATAATCATCGTTTAGCGATTCTGAAAGCATCTAAGGTTTTGAAATGGACGTGCTGAACTATGTATGTTTGCATTCCAAATCGTGTGCCTGTAAAAAGTAAAATCTCTGAGCGAAATCTTCGATCCGTGTCCTATCGATGCCGAATCAAGAACCAAGGTGATTGGAAGTATGTATTGCACCGCCAATCATGCATATTTAGTCTTCTTGTCTCCATATCCTTTGGTTTGCCATGATTGTAGGGACCTCAATTTTTTTGGATTCTAGGGATGTTTCAAGCAAAACAATGTGCTGGGTCATGGACCTTGGGGGTTGTACAAAATGTACAATCCTTGCCTCAAACAATACAAGAGCAAACAACATTGAAAGTGAAAAGATCGGTCATAGTTTCGATCACGGACACTTAGGTCTCACAACACAAAAAAACAAGCGGCAATAGTATTCGCTCATCCGACGAGTCAAATGAAAGAACGATGACACGTTAAACGGAATCAACCGTCCACATCATCGAACTTATGCATGTCTCGCGAACCATGCGATCTCAACCACCACAAACGACCCACCCGCGTTTTTAGTAAGCTCCATTCTTTGAGATTCTTGCCAAAGATGAAGAGGAAAAACCTTAGTCAAATGATGGGTCTTCTTTGTAGAATGTTCATCACAATTCGGGTGGTTCTGTCCACAAACCAACTCGATTGACTAATCTCAGACCGTGACACTTCGTCACTCCACCAGGTTTTAATTTTCTTTCTTCCGCCATTGCTACACATATTGAACTAATCACTCATTTGATCTTTTCTTTCCTTGCAAGAAACGACTTTAGCACCCATCTTGGGGGCAAAAGTTACTCCTGCCGTGGGCAATGATCATTCTGTTCGATTTCCTTC